GTATTAGCTACGGGCCCGTCGCTAATGGTTGCATCCTGTTTTGAGGTAAAAATTGGTTACCTCGGAGAATACGTTAGCTGCACAAATCCAATCCACCACAGCCGGTTGGATTAATGCTTTCGTAGGAGATTATAGACAGAAATGGAGAAAACGATTTTTAACCAGTTAAGAACCGATATCAAGACAGTAAAATTCCATTTTATAGATCTTGCTTATTTGTAAGGAGACCGTAGATTTCTCGCCTTTCAGACCGATGCACTCAAACTTCAGTGGAAACTTCCATTAAATAGTCGACCTTTATGACATATTTGTCGGGAAGGGGGCGTGTGTCTATTCCCCACCCCCTCCCCCCTCAATTGGACCCTGGAATCTATATGATTGCTTGAAACCGGTAATATGTTCTTATCAAATCTCTATCTTTCCACCAAGAAATCTATAATGTATAGTTCCACAACACTGAACTATATCTATATCTTTATCAAACCTCTATGTCTCCACAGAGAAATGTTCAGATTTTAGAAATAGTTTAGTTTCCTGAAAACTATATATACTCTTCCTAACATCGCTCTACGCATAAACATACATCTCTGGCTCTAATCATGTTACTTCAAGACTGTAATTCTTCGTCCGCTTATTGGTTTCTCTTTGTAGACTCGTAATTCGCTGTCTCATATGACTGATGATGTGGGATATTTTTAAAACTGACCATCCCGTGACAAATGTGGACACCCGGGAAAATGCCTGGTCCCAGGGAAAGTTCCAGAGCCAAGAAGACGTCAGACAAGATGGATCTGAGGTATTCAGCAACGTGAGAGTTTTCAGGGGAGGAAACCCGGCGGCTATGGGAAGTTCAAATTTAGACTTTGTTATAGCTGGACTGGCTGGGTTGTACTGGTATTCTTTCAGTACATCTTTAGTTCTGTTATCCTATAATTCTCAGGTCATTGCAGGGTCATGATGAATTGGTAAGTGGTGGATGGGGGAATGGGAGGAGGGGGGGGGGCGGCTTTCATACGTAGGCGTTGCAATCTGGATTTTCAACAGACCTGTGTTTTAACTTCTAATGATATTTACTGTTTTTGTTGTTGCGGCCAGACTTTTCTGACGTCTTTCAACACTTCTTGTTGTAGTTAATTTTGGAGCCAAAACCTTCAAAGTTTGTGAAACATTATATTGCTTTATTGTCAGTTAATCTGTGTTTGACGCAATTTACATTTTTACCCGACTTCCAACTTTACATTTACCCACTCCAGAACAATAATTGAACTGAAACACAATATGAGCAAATTCCAGGACAGATGACGATGTTAGCAATTAAGCAATCATGTTTGGAGTGCCCAAGAGCCAAACACAACAACGGGGCCATCACAACCAGTCTGTTGGCAACAGAAGATCATATTTCGTCACAGATACATTTATAGCCCACTCCGAGTCGGTCTTATAAATGTAATCTAAATCCCTGCAAATGGGTTACCTGTGCAGTTGCTGATGAATTATTTCCGCTGACCGATGATGACTCTGCCCATGTGGTTCTGTGCGTCCCTGAGTCACTGACTCTTATGCCAGTGTCTCCCAAACTTGTCTTAGTCGTGGCGCCTTTTTTTTTTTTTAATAAAAAAATTGTTCACGGGGCCCAAACCTAAGTAAAAGTATGACTATCCGTATGTTAGAGATAAAAACTCTTGTATCTTCTAATATTTCGCGGCGCCCCTGTGAAGAGGTCGCAGCTTCCCGGGGCGCAGTTTGGGAATCACAGTCCTATGCCATTACTGTGTCTTTTTTATCAGTGGGGTTTCCATGATTTAACAATATCGTTTCATAATTTGGAGCCTAATCGAATGTCTCATGTGATCAGGCTGTAGAATTAACTATTTGTTGTCTGCACGCCACCTGGAGACTAGTGTTCCCCCTTAACAATGTACGTCGTGTGTGGTTTCCGTTGTTCTCTTGATTTATTGACTTATTCCACTTTGAAGGCCTGAAAGTCTGAAAGACGCCTCTTTCTTTGACCGCACATGCCACTAATTTTACTTAGTCCCATTAACTGAACGCAGGACCAGATGCGTGACCAGTGTGTTTGGTTTACGCAACGGATCAACATCATAGCACAAGGGTAGTATCCCATAAGTGCTCCGATCTACTTCTAACTCAAGTCTGAGTCCAAAAATCTCAGCGCAGTGCACCAACTCCGCAGCAGCAGCGAAAATCCTGAAACAGTTTTGGTCAATTTTCAACTCCAATTTAAATTTGCCCGAGCTACTTTCTTCGATTTCCAAATGCCAAGAGATTGTTTTTACGCACGCAACCATACACACGGGCGTCCGATCTTACTACCCGAAGATCAGATACAATTACTAGAAGTCCGCGTGAAAAAAATCCTAGCCTTTATCCGGGCCTGAACCCGGGACTTCCAGCACTCGAGGCGGACGCCATGCCTCGAGATCACTCAGCCCTCTTGACATGTATGTGTGTGTGTGTGTGTGCTTGTGAGTGTGTGTGTGCGTGCGTGCGTGTGTAGTTGATGTCTGTGACTTGGAGGTGGCTTTCATGATTCGTAATTCCGAAATACCCGGATTTATTGCAGATGTGGGCGATTTGGCAACAGACCGCTTTTTAATGATTTTAAGAATGATAGTAAGAAACAAGTCCTCAACCAGTTCCTTGTAGTTTTCAGCTCCAACATTTCCACGCAATTTAGCTGCCACCATTTTTGTTTCTGGAGAGCATATTGTGAATTTAGGTACACTATAGTCCCTTTTCCTAATTTGTTTGCACACGTGGAACCGTGCAGGAAACAGCAGTCATTTATTTACGTGACTGCTCAGCTATCTTCAAACTGTATGAAACGGTATCGATATATTTTCCCCTTTCATTCACTTTTTATTTTTAGTTTTCTTACAAAATTACTACAGCGTAAGTGGGTGCCTAGCTCTTGTCCTGGTCCCTAGTATTGCATCCGAAATCGCAGTCACACACCTTTTTTAATATTGCTGTAATACATTTTTTTTTCGTGCACTTGTCCCGGCAGATACAACGCAAAAAAATTACCTGCACTGTAACAACACCTTGAGGCATCCCTATTGCTGAATTAAAACCACAGGGATGAAATTACTTGTTCACACTTCAATTATTTGCATCAGTTTTGGGTAAAAATACTTCCATCTTTCGATGGGAATGTGTGGGTTTGCAATTCAAACAATATGTTGGATTCTGCAGTTTAAAGCACGGCGTTTCGGAATGTTTACATTAGTACTATATGCAGGCCAAGTAATGCATACGTGACCATCTCTAAATCTCATAAATAAGAGCCGTTCAATTAATTGTAGTGTCATTTTTGTGTTCAACATCCCAGATTTGACAAAGACTGGTTATGTTTATGTCCTTGACAGGATCTTGTGGTCCAGTGTATTTGTTGACTGTGCACACTTGGACACGCTTGAGTGAATGAAAATAAACGAGCCGACCGACTTTCCGTGCAGAATGGCTGATGCATGAAGAACTGTACACAGAGCAGACACACTAAATGCGCTGCGTTTGAGAGACTCCGAGACGTAGGAGTCAGAGACGATGAACTGCTTGTTGGAGACAGGTATTCAACGAAGACAAGCAAGCAGACACCGGTTGTAGGGTGCAGAAAGAAGATGTGCCAGTCAAGTCCTACTGGGTTTGTTGAGCATGGAAACACTGAGAAGGCTGCTGCATCGTAGGATGGAGAAGGAATGGATGCTAGGATGTCGACATGAACAAGTGCAAATGACAACAGCTACTCTCTGTACCTTTTGTTGCCTTCGAGTACAAGTGGACTGACCGTTACATTGCAGAGACTAGAAAGGTACAATAAGACCATTAACATAACATACACACACAAAATGTCAATACAAATGAGAAGTACTACTAGTAAACTTTACAGTATCAATATGACGAAAGACAAAATGAACGTTGCAGTTAGAATGCGTTCATCAGCAAACGAAACCAACGGACAATTATTCATTCAGAAAAGCTAGTTGCGTGTCCTTTACAGGACGTTGCAAAGCCAACCCCAGTATTTTTTTTTTTGGGTTGTTTATGATTTCACTAGGCAGTTTTGCGTTCAGTAGTTTGCCATTGTTACATAACAGCTGTTGAAATCAATGCAAAACGGTCTGCTGCTAAATCGCCCCATCTGGGTTCAAACATGGCACTACACAATTACGAATGGCGCTCGCAACGCCAAAGAAACGGATGCCGACTTAATTAGAAATAGGACACCCCCCTTCCCCCCCCCCCCACACACACACACACTCACACCCAACTGTTCTTCCCCCAAAATCATGTAGGATTACGGTGTAACAAGTCATACAGTTGTAAATATCACAAAAATCACAGCATCTCCCTGGGCCCGAGATTTCGTTTCGGTTTCCATTCATGCCGTTTCCGTTCCTATGGGCTATCCTATATTTTTAAGGTGTGTTAGCATATGCGTTCCTTTCCCTTCGCCGTTTATACACACAGTGCGGAAAACCGGCTCTCGTTCGTTCGAGGCCCTACATGAAAGTGCGCAGCTCGCTTTCATGGCAGGCGACATTGAGCGACTTTGGCTACGTCTCTTGTGGAACCGTCAGTAGTGTGAGAATTTGTGACATTTTCACAGCGTGGAAAATAGAACTTGCTGGCCGCTCACGAAGTGGAATATAGAATACTTACAGCGTTGAAAATAACACAACATGAAGTCCCTACAACATAGGACAGCCCGTGGGAACGGCCACGGCATGAATGAAAACCGTCACGAAATCTCGCGCCTGGCGAGATGCTGTGATGTTCGTGATATGTATCCACATAATCTCCATTTAAACGTGGCCACGTGTCTCAAGGAGTAAGATACTGGACAACGACTGACCCACATCCGAGGGATTAATTAAAACTGTGAAGAAGGAGAGTGGTTCTGCCTGATCTCGTGTTCAGTAAACTGTATCATTTCAATCAACTGGTTCATGTGCATCTACGTTTTCTCCTCCCGACAGGTAACGTGCTGGTTATTCTGGCCATCATACAGACTAAGAAGCTGCAGACCGTGTCCAACCTATTCGTGGCCAACCTCAGCACCTGCGACCTCATGTTTGTCACCATCGTCCTACCTGTCAACATGTACACTTACTTGTGCAACGGATGGCATCTACCTATGATCCTTTGCAAGTTTGTCGGCTTCCTGTGCTACACACTGACAGGTAGGCTGTTTTGTCAGTCATAACAATAGAAGGATGCAGTTCATATAATACCGTGGTCAATCGATCGATCGATCTATCAGTTACGTTCCATCCCAGCTTCTAACTAAAGGTTTAACATAACATCCAGAATCTAAAAAATCTTGATCTGGACGACAGACCAACAAAGCAGATCCCAGATAACCAATGCAATCACCAACGAACTTGTAAATAGGGTACCCGTGACGGCTGCACCAACCAGGCGTGACATGGAGTTCTGTACGCGTAAGCGTAAGGGCGTTGTCGTGGTCCTTAGGAGAAACAAGAAATGAGAACAGCGCCTGCTAGGGGGAATTCCCATAGAGTTGAATTTTTTTTACTGATCAACATGAACAAAGGAGAACATATTCTCCAATAAGTACCAGAAAAACGATCGTGTCATTACAATTTTCATAACTGCCTCTACCGCTTTTGTGTAGAAGACGGTGGGGGAAACAAGAGGTTGGGGGGGGGGGGGAGGGGAATTGTCTTTGAGTCTGAGAATTTAGTACTGTATAGCTAGTGCTGTCGCCGCGCACTGAAAAAATATCCCCAGCCTTACCGATGATTGAAACTCAAGTCTTCAGCGTGAGAACCTGATGTTCCTAACCGTATGGCCAGGCGATCCTCAATGATCAAGAAAGGGCATGATATTGAGCACTTAACCTGTCAACATGGCTCTTTGTGGCAGATCGTACCAGGGCATCTGTTCAGACGTTCTCAACCCACGGGTCACCACCCAAAAATATGTCACGAAGGGTGTTTTTGTGGGATCACCGGGCGTTGGTAAACTACCACAAATTTTAAACAGGAAAAAAATCAGAATAATTACAAGTATATTATACTGATAATCGTTGAGAACTGCCCAGGTGTGCTTTAACAGGCTGTACTTCCAGGTCACGTACACATGTTAGCGTCACGGATAGTCATTATCCACAAGCCTATTTCATATATCGTTGATGATGATGATGATGTTGATGATGATGATGGTGATGATGATGAAATGATGATGATGAAGATGTTGGTGATGAAATGATAATGTTGGTGATGATGATGATGGTGAAGACGCTGATGGTGATGATAATGAAGAGGTTGGTGATGAAATGATGATTATGATAATGTTGGTGATGATGATGGTGATGATGATGCTAATGTTGAGGATGATGATGATGCTGCTGAAGTAGATGATAATGATGTTGATGATGATGATGCTGATGTTGATTATGCTGATGTTGATGATGCTGATGTTGATGATGATGCTGATGTTGATGATGCTGATGTTGATCATGATGCTGATGTTGATGATGGTGATGTTAATGTTGATGATGGTGATGGTGATGATGATGCTGATGATGATGCTGATGTTGATGATGATGCTGATGTTGATAATGGTGATGTTGATGTTGATGATGGTGATGGTGATGATGATGCTGATGATGTTGATGATGCTGATGTTGATGATGATGCTGATGATGATGATGATGCTGATGTAGATGATGGTGATGCTGATGTTGATGATGATGCTTATGAAGTAGATGATAATGATGATGGTGATGCTGATGATAATGATGTTGATGATCACGATGACGATGATGATGATGGTGATCATGTTGACGGCAATGATGATAGTTATGATAATGACGGTGATATTAAAGATGATGAGGATGATGACCTACAGTTAACTGTACTGTGATACTTTATCGATTCCCTACTTAGGTACAACAATAATAACCATCACACTGATCGCTTGGAACCGGTACAAACTGGTAGTTGACGTCAGCCGGTACAAACAGTTGTTTCGGCCCAGAAACATGGCGGTGATGTTAGCGGCATCCTGGGTAATCCCGGTTCTGTGTTTACAGCCAGCAGTCTTGGAGGTAGGTCGTCTGTCTTTGGTTGTGTCCGTGGGGCATCTGCATAACAGGGCAAGATTGGATAGAATAGGAACAATAAGACAGGACACAACCAGAAAACAATAGCGCAAAAAAACAAGATGTAGAAGGTAAAATATGAGAGGACAAGACAGCAGCACAAAAGAGGACAATAATCACATAAAAGAGGACATCAGAGAGGACAATAATCACATATAAGAGAACACAAAAGAGGACATTAATCACATAAAAGAGGACAGAAGACAGAACAAGACTCTGACAAGATATGACCTAACAGGTGACGAGTCAACCAGAACAGAATAAGACAATAGTAGCCATACCACACTAACAGTGATACTATTTTCAGAAATATGCCTTTCAACAATTTCCGTAGTTCTGCTAATATATATCTTCTTTTATAATTTAAGACTGAACTGATCTTTTTGTAAATGTGGGACTTAACACCGAAACACAGACATAAACATTAGGACAACGATATCCGAAAGTCTAATTGAGCTATTACATTTAGCCATCCCATTCAGTAATATACGTTTCAGAAACTATACTTTTTGTTAAAACAGTTAAATTAACTGTCAGCGGGAGGAGGCAGGAGGAGGAGGACGCAAGATAATAATGATGATGATGATAATGAACAAGAAGAAGAAGTAGAAGAAAACAAAGTATGAGGAGAAAGAGGAGACAAGAAGAAGAAGTAGGGGGTGAGGAAAGGAGGAGAAGTAAGAGGAGAGGATGATGAAGGAGAAGGAGGAGGAGGAAAGCAAAGTTTAAAAAAAAAAGGAGGTCAAGTGATTTATAAGCAAAGACGACAACTAAAAAAAATACTTTTTCTCAGCATCTCTATAACTGTACTTTTACAAACTGTCTCCTCTTTCGTTTCTTGTCTTGAAATCTGTCCGAACTGTCTGTAAGGGTCTTAACAAACATCTACAAATGCCTTAAAACTTAACCCGATATTTTATGAATCAAAATACTGTATTGCTGTTTTTCTCCAGAAATGGGGCCACTTCGGCTACATCCCGATGTTGTCAAGCTGCAACCTTGGCCTTGATAACTCCAGTCAAAGTTTCAAGATATTTTTGCTCATCGTTCGTGCGGCCATACCTTGTGGCCTCATCATTTACTTCTACAGCTCTATCTACGTCACCACACGCGAGTCTCACCAAAGACTATATTGCATATCTCGATCCGGCAGCAACGTTATGAAGCAGCTAAACCACAAGAGAGAGATGCGTTTGACCAGAATGATGATCGCAATCTTTGTAGTCTTCGTGTTAAGTTACTTCCCCTGCACGATCTCCAGTGTCATTGATTGGAGCAAAGTTCTCAGCAAAACTATCCATATGTTCTGTCAGACGTCTATCTTTCTTGGAAGCGCAGTCAACCCCTTGCTCTATGGCTTTATGAATGAACAGTTCCGCAAGGCCTACTACCGAATCATCACCTGCAAAGTCATGTTTCGTCGAGGTAAGCAAGGGCCAGCTGCTACAAGAGAGACCACGTACGTTGACAACAACGAGGGCAAACCAGATGCAACGTCAGACGATCCTTCCGTAAATACATATCAAGAGTCGCCCCCAAACAAAAGCAGACTGTTTCTGATGCCAGATGACAGTATTTCTGTGTCTCCGGCTACTTCTCCGTGCTTGACTGACACTAGACAAGATCTGTTGTTTGTTTCCGATAAGGGTGGTCTTAGGAATATGCCGAGCAAGTGTCAACGCTCTCCTGGAAGTGACAACACTTGTCAGTGGCAGATAAACGCTGACACAGAGGCGCTATGTCAGCTGTCGCCAACTCAGAACATGTATGGTTTTCAGAATAATTCAGTTTAACGGTTAGTCTCCTCTGCAATGGAGGGGTCAGTGAACGGACAGTGTTTTGGCGAGTGGTGATGTAACATGTCGATGGACAACATCGAAAAGTGGACAGGCTGAGGATAAGTCTGCCGTGTTGACATCATTAAGACAGAAATAACAGGTAAAGGTTAGAGCGGAGATGATCAATTTCATTGCAGCACGTTTTATCCCAAATGGCCTGGGTCTCACACCCCCCCCCCCCCCCTCATCTCTTTTTCTCTCTCTCTGCAGCTCACAATGCCACAGTGAGCACTTAGATCGGCGCGATGGAACCGTTGGACTTGAGACCACCCCAATCATTGTTAATGGGCATAATAAAGGACTTTGTATTTATAGAAATTCGTTTTAAAAGTATATGTTTATACATATCATATTATATTTAGTGTAGTAGCACGGTTATATGCCATTTAGCATATTACTAATGACAATAATATATTCACTGACAAACAGCTATAATAATTTTTTGCTTTTTATGTCATGTTATTACAGTCGACGTCACTGCACATTGGGCAATCCCATGCTATAATAAGGGATAGTTACTGAAACACTGGACAAGGAAGACACTGTGAAAACTATATTTGAAAGAATGTTGATAGAAAACACGAGGTTAGATGAAATAGCATGTGTAAGAACATTTGAACAAGGAATTGGGAGTGGATCGGACAAGCACGTGAGAGGGAGAAAACAACGTCTGTATAGCAGCGTGCTAAAAGAACAGTTGGCATCTACATCTCAAGACATTTGTAGTATGAGATGAAGCATCTACGAGTATGTCCGGTGTGCTATGATATCGATTCTCAAATCAGTAAATCAGTTGTAGACCATTCAACGCTTTATGTGGGAAGTCGAAATTATCATAAGAAGTGCTAAATGGTCACTCGTATTTTATCATGATCAATTATCACACCGACCGCCTTTACTTCACATGACATTTTGGCACCCATTTTTTTCTATTAAATTGTCCCTACGTGTACGTATTATTTGAGCGGTTGTTTTGTTTTGTGTATTCAACGTCGAACCTTGAGTAAAACTTATTTCTTTCCTTATCCTCTACTGACCTATTAATAAAACGTGTCTTCTTTATTCACTCATCAGCAAACAGCAAGTGCTTTACAGAACGTCGCTCTCTTCAGGGCACGCCTGAAAGTATCCCTTTCCCTAGCCAGCTGTCCGGCCCCATGTGCTTTCAATGCTGATGCACCTACAATGTCCTGCACCCATCTTCGCGGTGGTCGACCCCTGCCTCACTTCTACAAACTGCACCCTCCATTATCGTCTTTTCAAAACCACTATGAGGCTTGAATTTCACCTCCCTTATTCACTGTCTAACAATTATTAAGTCTTATCTTCCTTATCTACTGTCTAACCAGTAGTAAGATATGTCTCCATTATTCACTGTCAAACCATTCATAAATCTTTTCTTCCTTATCCAGTGAAGAACAATTAGTAAAGCATGCCTTCCTTATAAACTGTCGAACCGTTAGTAAAACAATTCTTCCTCATACACTGTCGAATCATTGGTAAAACATTTCTTCCGTATACACTGTCGAACCATTGGTAAAACATGTCTTCCTTATACACTGTCTAACCATTGACAAAACATTTCTTCCGTATAAACTGTCGAACCATTGGTAAAACATTTTTTCCTTATTCACTGTCGAACCGTAAGTAAAACATTTCCTCATTACACACTGTAAAACCATTGGTAAACCTTTTTATTTTCGTACCTAACTTGGACGTTAGTAAATCTGTTTTCTTTTATGCAATAGTCGGGACATTGTTGCAATATATAGGGAAGATAAAGTTTAAATTCTTTCACAAGCAAGTGTGTCGTATGTGAAACGTTGTCGTTGTGAAATGTGTTGGTGCTGTTGAAACATCTGCTCTTTAAACTTCATCGTGCATTGTCGATCGTTGTACACAAGCAAAGACTGTTCTAAAATGTGCATTCTCGAGTGATGACCGATCACAGTATTGTCTGTCAATTGTATGTAATCATTGAATAATTGTTTGTTCCTATCAAGATATAAATGTGCACATGAAAAGGATATTTGTTTCAAAAATATAATTGTTTACTAACGTACACACACAATATAATTTCTTCTCATTCTTGATCATATTGAAGGTGTGTGGTGTGTGTGTGTGGTGTGTGTGTGTGGTGTGTGGTGTGTGTGTGTGTGTGGTGTGTGTGTGGTGTGTGTGTGGTGTGTGTGTGTGGTGTGTGTGTGGGTGCTGTGTGGTGCGTGTGTGTGGTGTGTGTGTGGTGTGTGTGGTGTGGTGTGTGTATGGTGTGTGTGTGGTGTGTGGTGTAATGTGTGTATGTGGTGTGGTGTGTGTATGTGGTGTGGTATGTGTGTGATGTGTGTGTGGTGTGGTGTGTGCGTGGTGTGTGTGGTGTGGTGTGTGTGTGTGTTTGTGTTGGCTAATGCGATCTTAATTGTCGTATCAACACGCAGTGGGCACAACAGAAAACACATTTCTCATGATATTTACAGCTCACGGTGTCGCACTGAGCACTCAGATGAGTAGCTGATCGATGAAACCATTGTACTTCAGATCACCCGACAACCATCATTTTGTAATCGTCACAGGTTCACATTTTAATTGTTTATAGAAATTATCTTTCAAAGTATTCGTTTATTCGTTAAATATTATTTCAAGTATAGTACAAGTGTTTACAGTCCTCCTTTCGAACAGCGTACAGGGAATAGAAAATTTAATATTGGCTGTCCAAAAGCACAGTGAAGATAAAAATCTGTTCTTGAATTTGAAGAAAACGAAAATGATGTCCACAGATAAAACTGGCTGTCACCCAAAAATAACAATAAATGATGAAGATTTTGAAAATGTCACTAACTTTGAATACCTAGGCTCTACTATAAACAGCAATGGAGACTGTTCAACATAAATTAAAATGTGGATGGCCATAGCAATGCAAAGATTGAACAGCCTTAAAAGTCTATGGTTAAGCACCAGCAAGGAGATCAAAATTCGAATTTTGAGAGCATACATCTTCACTGTGGCTACGTACGGGTGTGAGTCGTGGACTATCTCTCAGTCCCTAAGAAAGAGAATAGGGGCTTTTGAGCTGAAATGCTAAAGAAAGATTCTCAGAATATCTTGGACAACGAAGATTAGAAATATTGACATCTTAAAAGATCTGAACATCAAGGAAGATTGGCTAATAAACAGCATTCTTTCCCGAAAGCTAAACTATTTTGGTCATTTCAAGCGCCACGACGGATTGCAAAAAATTATAGCAGAAGGCATGGTACCAGGAAGGAGGGGCAGGGGCCGAAAAACACGAAGATGGGCACAGGATATAAGTGACTCCTTGAGTGTGAAAGTGTGAAAGTGAAAGTGTCCTTGAGTGTGAACTACGCGATCATAAAGATTTTGCCGGCAAAATCACTAGCGGCTCTCACAGAACACTTTAACCTCGTGTGGCGAGGTGGTGTTATACCCAAACAGTGGAAACGAGCGACGGTCATACCCATCCTGAAACCCAACAAGGATCCCATGCGGGTCGACTCCTACCGCCCCATATCACTCACCTCCCACCTAGGAAAGATAATGGAGACCGTAGTGAACAACCGAATCAAGTTCCATATGGAAAGCAACAACCTCTACAGCACCTCCCAGTCCGGATTCAGGGCAGAAAGATCGACGATGGACCAAATTATCAGGTTGGAAGGCCACGCGAAAAGAGGGTTCAGGGCCCAAAAGATAACCGTCGCAGTCCTTCTGGATCTAGCCCACGCCTATGACCAGTGCTGGAGAGAGGCGGCTATAGCCAAACTCCACAAAGTAGGCGTGGCTGGCTGAACCCTCTAATACGTGCGAAACTTCCTCCAGGATAGAACATTCACAGTTGCGTTGCGGAACAGTGTATCCAGAACCCTCATACAGGAGAACGGCACCCCCCAGGGCTCTGTTATCTCCCCAATGATATTCAGCATCATGGTAAACGATCTGCGACAGGAGATTACCAGCCCTGAGGTAGAGCTGTCACAGTATGCTGACGACTGTGCCCTGTGGTGCAGCGGGCGCAAAGTAAGCGCCGCCAACAAGAAATTACAAAAAGAACTCAACAACGTGGCAAAATGGATGGTCAAATGGGGTTTTAAAATCAACGTGAACAAGTCAGCACTAATGGTTCTCAACAACAAACGTCCCAGACTATCTAGTGAACACGACTGCCGGCTGACCATCCATAACCGCCCGATTGCTAGGAGATTCCACACCCGGTATCTTGGTATGATTCTCGACCAGCAGCTGAACTGGAAAAAGCATGTGGAGGCCACAACCGATCGATGCAAACAATACATCAATATGCTCAGAACCATAAAAGGATCTGGGTGGGGAGCCCATACCAAAACTATGCTACTGTTCTACAAAGCGTTCATAAGGGGGAACCTTGACTACGGCCCCATAGTCCACGGTGCTGCAAACAACAACAGTCTGAAGAAACTAGACAGTATCCAGTGCCAGGCACTTTCAATCATCCTAGGCGTCAACAGATCAACCAGCAGGGAGGCTATGGAAGTCGCCCTAGGTGTCCCCCCTTTGAAGCTTAGAAGAAAACAGCTAGTATACAGTTACTGGATGAGCACGGGTCTCCGCCCCGATCACACAGCCACCAAAGCCTTCCAAACCAACCAATAACCAAGACAAGAGGACTAAATTATATAAAAAATTTTTACGTCAGACAGCCTGAATTACAGCCAGGGAAACACAGAGAACAGAAATAGCTGAGACAATCTTCTGCCACAGAAAATTCACACAGACGGTCCCCCCGTGGGAACAACGACTGCCGACAACCGACACCAGCCTCGCCAGGAAAATCTCCAGAAGATCCGACCCCGGCGAAGCTAGGAGCCTAGCAGACGAGTACATCAACACACTAGCCGCTGGCTCCCTAGCAGCCTATACCGACGGATTTAAAGATCAAAATTTAGAGGTTGGTGCCGGGATAG